CTGCTGGTCTAAAGTCCTTGAGTTCTATACACAGGGATATATCTGCAACGGAGGAGGAGACAGGCACGAGGGAGTGCTGTCACAGCCGGCCATCTCAAAGGATCAGGAGAGTGTAAAGTAGGGTATTCAGGGGTACATTTTCGAAGGAAAAATCCTGTGAGAACGTTCAATATTACCATTAGAGGTTTGGTGATTGTCGTTTGAAATTTCGTTTGATTTTTAAGAACGAAAATCACATTCACTGTTAGAATTTCATTCAATCGAAAAAAGTTTTCCAACATGCTCTTTCGAATTTTTTTGTCACTGTGGTCAAAATCGATCATCGTTTTGACCCCATCGACGATTATAAAGTCGAACAAACCTTTTTAAGGCTGCAACTAATGTGATTATTTTCATAATTGATTAGTTGGCCCATTTTTTAAATTTTTTTTAATAATCGAAGAAAAAAAAACTAATACCAACTAAATAAAAAACTTGACTGCATGCACAGTGTTTTGCAATTGCAGCGCACTGGAACTGAGGGCATTGCGGTACCGCGCGTTCCAATGCAGACGATATATATGCCTGGTCATCAGTTTAAAGTTAGCCATAAATATGGCTAACATGCGCATGCGACGATACCTTACATGTATAGCGTAATCGTCATTTTTGTACGTAGGTGCACCCGACTTGTGTTTCCCTTCCTATGCGCAGAATTTGTGGGGGACTTTACATTTTTGTTTCAGTATTTTTAAAACATTTTAATTTACCTTTATTTTATTTATTGTTTTGTTAACTTCATTGCTATCACAATGCCAATCACAATAGCAGACTGGCTATTGCACACACCGACTGCCTCCGAGTCTCTCCGACCCATCCAGCAGTGGCGCACTGTATCTGGACATCTCTCTCTGAGAGCGACCCTGCCTGACAGCTAGTCTGTATCTCTTCCAATGCCCACTGCCTCTGCCGATTCAGGCGTGGGAGAGGAACAGGATTGGAGGTGTCAAGAGACTGCAGCGGGGGAGAGAGCGGTTGCTGGGGGGTGGGGGCAGTGGGTTTTGGGGTTGTGGAGTAGGAACGACTGAACAAAGAAGCGGCGGCCAGGGGCGGTGGAGTAGGAACAACTGAGCAGAGTTGCAGCAGCGGCGTGGCTGCATTAACTAATTGGAATCAACTAATCGATAATAAGAATCATTGGTAGTGATTCTCAATTATTATTGATTAGTTGTTGCAGCCCTAAATGTTTCAGAATTAATTTTGTTTGTTTAAAGTTCTGACCATGTAAACCCAACTTAAAGGAGAACGATGGGGTTAAGGCTTTTCCCCATAGTTCTCCTTAGGGTAACGGGAGTACACAAACTAGCGTCCTCCCGTCACCCTAGGCTCAGTATACCGTGAGCTGCTGCTCGCGGTATACTGAGACGCCGCAGCTGAAGCGGATCCCCACAGTTATGTCTGGATCAGCCCAGCTGCGTGACTGACAGCTGGCTCTGCCTATCTAGAGGCAGAGCCAGCTGTACCCTCCCCCGTCCGTTCCACCAGTCAGCGCTGGCGGATCGGAGCGGGGAGGGGGGAATCCAGCCCCTCCCCTGTGACGGCAGAGAGCCGTGACAGGATCGAGAGGTGAGCGAACGCCGGTATGTGTTCGCTCACCTCCCGATCTACTGAGCCGACCCGTGACAGTCTCATTGTCACAGGTCAGCTGGAACTATGAGGTGAGTGAAAAGCACTCACCTCATAGTTCTCCTTTAACTTTGTTATTTTTGTCCCTAGGCAGTCAACCCTTGCAGTGCGGGAGAACCCCAACTGCAAGGGTTAATAACACTTATACCCGGAGTTCTTCTTTAACGTACTTTGCACTTTCAAAGTGATTGAACTGGGGTGCAAAGAACAATATACGTATAGCACTGTTTTTGTTATATGTACTGTACAGTGTTCTTGGCTATAACACTACTATATGTCTTGTTCTTGAAAACTGAAATAAAAGCGTATTGAACAAAAAAAATAGATTGATCATTTAAATGTCCTCTATCTAGTGGTTTCCAGTACTCTCTCTCTTCAAAAGCACTTCTGTCTTCCTTTCACCACATCCCTGCATATGCCAATATCAACAATAACAGTTTTCCCCTTCAAGCCTCTGCAGTCTTCCAAGGGCACCTCTATTATCTCATGCTGTATATACAGCTGTAACAGACAAAAGGCAAAGGTCTATGTAAAATACAAAAGGCAATATTGCTGTCCTAGTCTAATGGTTTCTAGAGAAAAAGTCACATTATCGCAGAGTAAAGTCAAGTGAAATCCTATCAAATCTATGATTTGAAGTATGTCATGCCTGACCAATCTTTTGGATTGTATTTCATAATTTTAAATATTTAATATGCCGCATGCCTAGATTATGGTGAGATCACCTTGAAGGTAACAGCAAGGGAAAGTAAAGCTGTTTCTTGTGAGGGCACCTTGAATGTACCTTCACTGCATTCTAAACCATATAAATACTTCTTAAAGAGTGTATTCTGATTTAGTCATAATATTTATTATATTATTTATTATATTCATGGGTAATATTAAACACTAGCAGCACACATTTAATGCTGATCTCCAACACTGTTAAATAAATATAATGTAAACAAAAAGTGCCTGGCATTCGAAAGTCTGGTCTGTAAAAATAACCCTGGCAATGCCACCCCCCCCGGTATACTGAGACCGCCGCAGCCGGGACGGATCCCGACTTTACTGTCGAGATCCACCCAGCTGTGTAAGTGACAGCTGGCTCTGCCTATCTAGAAGCAGAGCCAGCTGTACCCGCCCCTCCCCTGTTCGTTCTGCCAGTCAGCGCTGGAGGATCGGACAGGGGAGGATTACCTGCAGGGAGCCGTGAGTGACAGTCACTGCTCTCTGCAGGGACATGATTGAAAAGTGAGCAAGCGACAGTATGTGTTCATTCACTTCCCGATCTATTGAGCCAACGTGTGACAGTCTCATTGTCACAGGTCGGCTCGAACTATGAGGTGAGTGAAAATCACTCAATCATTCACACTCAATCAAAATCCACCAAAAGAAAGCTCTATCTGTCCCCAAAAAAGGGTATAAAATTCATTTCAGTACAGCGTTGCATGACGGAATAAATGTCAGTCAAAGTACCGCAGCGCTGAATACTGAAAAATGGCCTGGATGGGAAGGGGGTTTAACACCGCGGATGTCAACTGGTTAAAGTGGTATTATTGCTTTTTCACACAAAATCTGCACCAGATCTACATAAGTTTCTGCACATGCAGTGCAGTGTGTTTTGGCCGCGTTCTGGTCCGTTTTTTCCAGCTGTAGAAATCAGCTTCTTGAACGGTCATACAGGAGGATGTGTGCGGGCGCATGCGCAGTGGGGATCACTGGCGGGGAAGAGGAGGAGAGACACACTGTAAGTCAATGCACGCAGCCGGGAGCGTGCACGTCAGACAGACTCAGTGGGACAGAAGGAAACAGCAGTCAGCGCTGGATCAGAGACCGGTACCAGCGGCGGAGGGACTGCTGAAAACTACTGGAAAGAAGAAGATGATCGGATTAAGAGGCATTTAATGTCACTTTAAATGTTTATTCTTGCCTAGGGTACCATTAAGTAGCATTTTTACTCACCGTATCCCTCAATCCCGTAGGTTTCTCCTCTCTACGCGCCTGGTCCCTGCTTCTCTTTCATTCTCTGTCCATTGGTCGCACTCTGACATCATCACGTAGAAGGCAGGACCAGCAGTCCTACATTGTGAGGATGCCAAAGGCCCGACCACATCTCAAAGCGTCGGAGAGAAGAGGTAAGTGCCAGTTGCTGGAGGAGTGAGGGATGAAATAAGTAAAAGTGCTTTTTTAATGTTCCCCAGACAAAAACAAGCATTTAACCCTTGAGCGCAAAGGGAGCGCTGTTAAAAGGGTCATTTTTAAATTTTCTGGAGTTCAGCTTTCACCATGCACTACATGCTGTAAACTGTAATGTTGCCCATGCACAATCATTTTACGGCACTTTCTATCGCTTTCAGTCATAAAAAAGAAACAACAGATCAAGACCACCTAGCACCTATCGTACTATTTCAAGAATTTGATAGAAACTACAGGTGGTCGGTTGTATTCATTTATTTTTATGTTTCTGTGACCACAAGTGGGTTGGAATTACTGAAAAGCAGCCGTTAGATGTTTGGTCAGAGACATTACAATATATCGTATTTATGACAGAGGGTGCAGGTCTTTCAGGGGCCTGCCTTGATGTTAGGGGGTTGGATCTGTGGTCTTTTCCCTTCCCCCATTCAGGAGAGCCCCTATCAAGTATTTGGTGGACCATGGCTGGTTCCTAAGGATCGGGTCCACCTGGCTTAACCTTTAGGTAGACTAGAGTGCCTTGCCCCAGTCAGGAGCCTTGCGTCCCGAAGGGGGGGAGTTCAGGGATACGTGACCCTCTTTTTCAGAAGAGGACCAAGCACCCTTGTGCACTTTTTTGTGTGCAGTAATTTCACTTACGATTTTGTTACGATGCAAGCACCGCGGAGCTTCAAAAAAAGAAAATAAGGAAAATCTAGGATATTTTGGATCCAAAAGTATACAAAAAACTATATATATATATATATAGATATATATAGATATACACACACATACATATCTGTGTATATAAAAAGAACTGTATTAATAATAAAAAATAATAAAGTTACCCTCCCAGTAAAATAATGAAACAAATGCAACCCTGTCAGCCAGAGTCCTGAGTCAGTGACATGTGACTCCCTACAATACCGTTAAATTGCGCCGTGCAGCTACAGGTTCCCCATGCTGCACATTGCCCTCCAGCGCTACTGATCACGTTGATTGACAGCCAGACTGGCCAATCCCCGCACGCGTACCTCGGACCCAGCCAATCAGTACACACATGAGGTATGGCTCACAAGGCTGTTAATGGAGAATTGTGCTCTCTCCTCGGCCAGCTGATTTAGGATGGGGCAGGGTTGGCATGGTGGGGAAGGCAGCTCCGGTGCGGATACTGTACCTACCTGCAGCGGGTGCAGCTTGCCCTGCAGAGAGAACGTGGCGCTGCTTGGGGTAGGCGTAGACGGCTCGATTAGCTCATCCTCAGCATCAGAGCTGGACATGGCATCATCCGGGGTCCCTCTGTCTTCAAACTGCCCCGAGACTACCACCATCCCTCTGAGCGTGTCCAGGGGCCTCACTTGTCAGAGCTGGGGAGGGGTTGGGGAGGGCTGTGGAGTGATCCGGACACTGCTAGGTCACAGGCTGCACGGACTCATGTTGTGATCAGCTCGCTGGTACTGACTTCAGGAAGAGGAAGGCTGGCTGCCTGCTACCATAAATCCCATTCATGCCGTGTCTGTGCTGATATGATGATCTATTTTGTATCAGTCACATCACCCCAGAGGTTCCCTGCTTCAAAAGTGCTGTCACATCACGTGGGTGGGATGTGCTGTTCCCCACCAATCACGTGGCACCATTTGATTTTCCTCAGCCTTGGTCACAATAGGGAGCGCTGTCATCTACCTGATGCTTTGCTGTCCCCAAACACAGTGCTGGGGTGACCACTTATTATTGGGGTACAGCTCAGGCCTTTGTGGTCACACCCTTGGATGTTAAAGAAAATGCACAGAGCTTCACTGTTTTATACTAGAAACAGTTATCCAAATGTGCAAGGTTTTAAAGAAGAACTCCGGGCATATGGAATCTTAACTCTTCAATGGGGCTACCTCTGCACTACAAGGGTAACTGCATGTTCTGTCTAGGGAGCTAAATTAAATAACAAAGATATACTCACCCGAACCTCGGAGCCGGCTGGCTACAAGAGCCAGGGTTGTCCCTATATTATTCAAGGCTGGGTGGGGCAGTGGCGTCACAAGGGGGTGCGGCTTGCACCCGCGAGCCACCATTGGACACTCACCTCCTATGAAAAGTCGGTGTCAGGAGAACGGAGGAGACCCGGTGGCATACGTCATCCCGCCGGGTGAACGTCCCCTCCTCTCTGCCGGCGTCCATCACAAAGGTGGCAGGCGTCAATAAGGCGACCGCGCATGCGCGATGACGTCACGGCAGGGTGTCACCCGGTCTCCGCTCTGCGTGTCACCCAGCCTCGGAATGCTGAAGGAGCTAAGCGGAATGCTCTGGCTGGCGTCCCGCCCAGCTCACTGACATCACTGGTTGCCAAGAGCTGGGTGGGACGCCAGCCAGAGCATTCCGCTTAGCTCCTGGCAACCAGTGACGTCAGTGAGCTGGGCGGGACGCCAGGCAGAGCATCCCGCTAAGCTCCTGGACACCAGTGACGTCAGTGAGCTGGGCGGGACGCCAGACAGAGCATCCCGCTTAGCTCCTGGCAACCAGTGACGTCAGTGAGCTGGGTGGGACACCAGGCAGAGCGTGCCGCTTAGCTCCTGGCAACCGGTGACGTCAGTGAGCTGGGCGGGACGCCAGCCAGAGCATCCTGCTAAGCTCCTGGACACCAGTGACGTCAGTGAGCTTGGCGGGACGCCAGACAGAGCATCCCGCTTAGCTCCCGGCAACCAGTGACGTCAGTGAGCTGGGCGGGACGCCAGCCAGAGCATCCCGCTAAGCTCCTGGACACCAGTGACGTCAGTGAGCTGGGCGGGACGCCAGCCAGAGCATCCCGCTAAGCTCCTGGACACCAGTGACGTCAGTGAGCTGGGCGGGACGCCAGCCAGAGCATCCCGCTAAGCTCCTGGACACCAGTGACGTCAGTGAGCTGGGCGGGACGCCAGCCAGAGCATCCCGCTAAGCTCCTGGACACCAGTGACGTCAGTGAGCTGGGCGGGACACCAGGCAGAGCATCCCGCTTAGCTCCTGGCAACCAGTGACATCGGTGAGCTGGGCCGGACGCCAGCCAGAGCATCCCGCTTAGCTCCTGGCAACCAGTGACGTCAGTGAGCTGGGCGGGACGCCAGCCAGAGCATTCCGCTTAGCTCCTGGCAACCAGTGACGTCAGTGAGCTGGGCGGGACGCCAAACAGTGTCACAGTTTGCTAAGAGCAACCTGGGATGCTATGGCGTGAAAGGAGGTGGTGGGCACACCTGCCTCCCCCCCCCACATGACCCAATGAGATGCCACTTGAGGCAACCCCCTCAGGCTGCCTCATTTTAGGGCCGGCCTTAGCTAGACCGGTCCCTGTAGCCTCTTTTCACCCTCCATTCCAGTGATGGAATGTCCCTCGGAATGCTCACTTCAAATACACTGTATAGGAACTGATGACTCACAGGACCTTAGACCACCGGAGCGGACAGGAAATGAGGCGGCAGGAACAGGTCTAAGAGCAAGCCAGCTGCAAGGTTCGGGAGAATATAACTTTTATTTTAGCGCCCTAGACAAAACAAGCACTTAACCCTTGCAGTGCAGGTGTAGCGCAACAACAAGGGTTAAGATTTCATATGCCAGGAGAGGTAGTTTAAAGCTTAACTTTGCAATCAGCAAATATTGTAGAAATATAAGAGCCATGTGTATTGTTACTTGTATCTTGGTGTGCTTTGTGTATTTCTTGCAGATCTGGGCAGTAATCCACTTTGCCTCTATGCAGGAGCTTCCTGCATCTCTCTCTCTCTCCTTGTGCAGGGTGACTGCTCTTGTATCCGCCTTCCTGCAGTTTTCTCCAGGCAGCCTGTAGGGGGTGGAGCTGCTAGCTGCTGGGCCCCTCCCACAGCTCTGCTCTCTGCACAGGCTGTGTACAGTACAGTGATAACATCACTATCTGGACCGGGAAAGGCATTTTGTGCACACAAAGAGGGTTATATAGGAATATATTTGAATAAAAGCTTTGGTGCCTGGAGTTTAGCGTTAGGAAATATAACTGGAAAGGCCTTCAGGAGAAAAGGGGAAAGTGTTCTGTTGTTGTCACACACAATCAAAATGTCTCCCTGTAAAAAACATAGCACATGCTTCCTTTTCCTGCTTCCTGTACCACTGAATGGCAATAAGGAGAACTCATCAGATGAAGAAATTGATACTTTCGGGCGTGTCAATCTATTAGTTCCCCCACTACGCTCAGCGGTTCCTCCCACCAACCCCTTTGCCACTACAGGACACAGTTGTCATGTAGAGAGCAGCGGATCAAACCACAAAGTTCAGCAGAGGACCAGGAAATCATCACTCCTTGAATTGTCAGCTTCTGGAGAGTCTTCCACCAGCCAGTTCTCTTTATCAGAGCAGCAGGAGAATAATTAGGGGAATGAAGCAAAACTGAAGCAGACAAAATCTGGAGCAGTTGCCCATGGCAACCAATCAGCTTCTCATTTCAGTTTGCTCAATTAGGATTTGAAAATGAATGGCAAAAGCTGATTGGTTGCCATGCACAGCTGCTCCAGATTTTGTCTGCTACAGTTTTGATAAGTTCCCCTCAATGTGTTTTTTACAAGGAGATGAAATTATTCACAACTGGATTTTTAGCAAGAGAGTTGCTTCACTATGCATTACTTCACACAATAACGGGGTGCAGCATGGCAGCCCAGCCAATTTAAAGCAAGCAGTAAAACAAACATTTTCCTTTGTGGTACTGAAACACTAAGGCCCCAGTCACACCTAGGCGTATTGTAATATGCGCGTCTGTCGCGCGTTTTTTTTACCGCGATTCGCGGTAAAAAAGTCGCGCGACCGTCGCGCAATTCCAAAGGCTACTTGGCTGTATCCCAATGGAAAACGCCCGACAAAACAGCCCAAAGTAGTCCCGGGACCTTTTCAGGCGTGGGCCGTTTTGTAGGGCGTTAGGGACGGGCGGAAATACGGCGAGGTGGGAACGAGGGCATTGACTACAATGCAATTTATATTTTTGACCGTTTTGTAGAGCGTTCGTCGAGCGTAGAACGCCCTACAAAACGGTCAGGTGTGAACGCAGCCTAAAGTCAGAATAGATCCTAAGTGACACTAAGGGCTTGTTCACACCAAGTGCAGAGCAGATGCAGAGCAGTTACAGAACGGATCAAAACTGCGTCCAATGTATTCCTGTGGTATTTTGGGCTCTAGTTCACACCACAGTGTTCAGTTCCAGAGCATGTGGAAAATCTGCAGAAGGCACTATTTTTTCTGCTCTGGAACGCACAAAAAAGCGCATGCCAACACATCCAAATGCATGCAAGTGCTCTGGAACGCACTGGACTACACCTGAAAGCCCATTTTAGGCAAAAAGAAAAACGTACTGGAACGCATCAAAAACGCGTCAAAGCGCACTGCATATGCAGAAACTCATCCAGATCTATTTAGGGTATTAAAGCAAGTTATGATAAGAATGAAAGCTTTTTGTGCACAACATTATCAGGGCTATTAACAAAAGTGTGAAGAGTTTGGAGAAGGCAGGAGAAGTGAACAATCTAGGACAACATAGCTGGACTGGAAAGTGAGCTGAATTGGAGAATTTTTCCAGTTCAGCTATGTTGTCCTAGATTGTTCACTTCTCCTGCCTTCTCCAAACTCTTCACCCTTCCGTGAATAACCCTGTATGTCATAGAACAAGGGTGGGCAAACTGCAGCCCTCCAGCTTTTGTGCAACTACAACTCCCATGAGGCACTGCAAGATTCTCACAGCCACAGGCATGACTCCCAGAGACAGATGCATGATGGCATATGTATGGCATATCATATTTAAGAATAAACCTTTTGAGGGGAAGAGAGCACTAAGCTGTAATTGTTGATGGTGATCTATTTTCATATTGTACTGGTTACTGATTGTGTGACCCCATTATGGTTCTATCTGTAATGAAAATATTTTAAAAGAGTGATAGAATAAAAAACATTTTCCTCTATATTGGAGTGTTGTATCAATGTAGCACCTGAAACGTTCTTATTGGTGCTGCTCTGTTAGTTAAATATGATCACACATTTTATAAATAATTTTATGTATAATGCCGGGCCATGGGCCCTGTATTGTACATGATGGATCCAGCAGGATTCCGACCCCCGAAGCCAAGGCAGGGAAGAGGCTGTGGGTGCCAGTCTTGGAGCTGCAGTAGTGGGAATCACTTAAGTAAAAGTCCTTCACACAGACAAAAAATAGCAGTTACCCTTGCAGTAAAGGGGCAAGGGGAGTTGTTTTTTTTACCCCGAGTTAGGCTTTAAGTGTAAATAGAGTGAGGAAACCTCTGTCAGGTTATATTTCTGTCTTTGTGCCCACTGGGGAGATTCACCTTCTCAATTTGTCCTGGGGAACATTGACACTGTGCTAGGAAGTGACAGGGAAATCAAAATTTTAGCGTTTTCAAAGGATGAGGAGGTGATGGGAACTCTTCCAATAGGCACACCTGTTCCAGTGACAATTGTCTACCCTTGCTTTGGAGACATTTCTTTTTTCTTCCTGTTGTGTTTCTGGGACAGCAAGTGAAAGGAAATCACGAGACTGAGGAATACAGACAAAAAGGGGCAAATTGGCTGTGCCCTCTTCCAGCAAATTGGCCTATGCTTCTTCTTCAAACACCTA